AAACACATTCTGCATGCTGCACATGAACCCTCCGCCTGAGCTGTCCCTCCAGATTCTTTCTGATGAGGTCTCCCAGGAAACAAAGGAAGAAATCCTCATTGGAAGCGCAAGGAAAAGGGACCACAAGTAAGCCTCTAATAAGTTGGGCTAATAGAAGTAGAGAAACTAAAGTCTCAGTGCTGAAAAGAGCAAAACCACAAATGGAATGCCAGTAATTAGTACTGATATTTGAAAGAAGATTGGAATTGGAAATCTGGATTTGGAAAGGCTTAAAAAAATGTGGATGGAAACACTTTTGTCCACTCTGCCACATGTTTGCAAGCCAAATCTGACTCGTTGCTAAACAGAAACATTGAGAAACAACTAGGGAATATTGATTCAGACAGACAAGACATGTGCTAACAATTTTGCCCATGCAAGAGGAGGGGCCAAATTAACTGTCTGTTAAGTATATGAACCATGAATGAATGCCTATTTCATGAAGTAAGCCTTCAGGAGGACGTGACAAAGACAGAGAAAAATTGCATACATGCCATGTATCTTAATAGCAACTTGTTTTAATACTCTACTCCCAATTTACATGCAAAGCGACACATATTTTCATTAACCATTTGCCAGGGACAACCTTAAATGGCTCATCCATCTTTTGTGCTTGGACACATCTTTTGGTGAACTGAAAAAGGGATGGTTTTTTGTTAGTTTTTTATATATGTGTAGATAATCTACTGTATAAAACTTATGGCCATTTAATTTTACACAATGCAAAAATATAAACAGTAACACTTCATAAGATTTATAAGATAAGTATTTGATCAATTTTAGAGAGCTAAATTTCCACATGATCTGGTGTATAAGAGTTTATCTCTGTCATATGAGATTATATATGTAATCTGTAATTTATTACAGATCCCCCTAAAACTTTCAAATCGGAAAACCTACTGGCTTTGGAAAACAAGAAAATGATTACTCAGGGGAGAAGCGCACATGGTGGTGGCGTCTCTGTGCTGCCTTGGAAATATCAATGAGCCATGTGTCTTTCATTTTATCAGATTAGCTAATAGCATGAAGGCAAGGGAACAACATGCACACATTCTGAGCTAAATGAGACTGTTAGCAATCGTTATACCATTGCTTCCTTGGACTCCTTTTTTATCTATCTCTATTCTAAATATCAATACAGTCTGTATGTCTATCTATCTCTGACTTTCTCAAATGCAGTATCTTAGTTTTCTGTGTCATTTTTCCCTGCTCTCTCTGTCTTAACTAAACACAGCTATCAGCAGGCAAACAGATGGATGGTTCCTGACAGCGCCGCAAACACAAACAACAGCAGAGACTACTGCTAAATACCAGATAGATGACTAAATCTCCTCATATTTACAGAAAAGAGATTTGTTGTCAGAAGTGCAGGGGGCAAAATAAATGAATCAAGATGGTCACACTCCCCAGAGAAAGTGAGGCAGAACAAAAGAGGTAGAACGGAAAACACAAAGAGCACCCGTTCACACTGAAAGGCTCCGATGCTGGAATTACGTCAGGAGTCTAGTATCATTCTCCAGGACTAGAGAGAATTTGCCTCTCTCCAAAGGTTGGGCTATAACAGAAATGCCCATTAATTAAAAACCTATGTTTATACATACAGTAGTTTCTTGAAGCATTGTGACATGCTGATATCTTTTTTTATTCCTCTTATTTGCTCATTTATTTAAACTGATATCGAACATGGATTCTGCATACTCTTATTACAACAGCAGATGATAGCATAAATAATTTAAATCTGTACACACGGCTGCTGGATTAGCTTTGCATTATTTTCATATAGGTCAGTACGGTGAATTTATGCCAAAACAAATTACTTCTGCAGTTATGTCACAGGTTAAAGACAATTTCAAGAAGACTATCCTACTTACCTATTTACATTACCACACTCTCACAATAGAGAATGCTTGTAACATGTCGTCAGCTCCTTCTGGTGTCATCTTTCCCACATGGCACTGTGGTCAATCTATTTTGAACAATCCCTAAATGCCAGAGTAACCCTGCTGTGAATGGAAATCTGGAGAACTTCTGTGCTTTTGGTAAAATCCTAATGCAGTCTGTCAGCAGACCTGACAAATGAACATATGCAGCTGTATCACAATACTTGTTGACCACTATTCTCCAGGACTAGAGTAGGTACTGGAATAATGGATTGTTCTTCCTTTGTTTTGAGTCTATTCTGCACATCACTTGAAGCACAGGAAGTATTTGCCTCTCTCCAAAGGTTGGGCTATAACAGAAATGCCCATTAATTAAAAACCTATGTTTATACATACAGTAGTTTCTTGAAGCATTGTGACATGCTGATATCTTTTTTTATTCCTCTTATTTGCTCATTTATTTAAACTGATATCGAACATGGATTCTGCATACTCTTATTACAACAGCAGATGATAGCATAAATAATTTAAATCTGTACACACGGCTGCTGGATTAGCTTTGCATTATTTTCATATAGGTCAGTACGGTGAATTTATGCCAAAACAAATTACTTCTGCAGTTATGTCACAGGTTAAAGACAATTTCAAGAAGACTATCCTACTTACCTATTTACATTACCACACTCTCACAATAGAGAATGCTTGTAACATGTCGTCAGCTCCTTCTGGTGTCATCTTTCCCACATGGCACTGTGGTCAATCTATTTTGAACAATCCCTAAATGCCAGAGTAACCCTGCTGTGAATGGAAATCTGGAGAACTTCTGTGCTTTTGGTAAAATCCTAATGCAGTCTGTCAGCAGACCTGACAAATGAACATATGCAGCTGTATCACAATACTTGTTGACCACTGTGCGTCTGTCAGTTGCAGTGTTATTTTAGTATAAATGGTATACTATTATAGTTTTTTCATTTTCATTTTAGTTTTAATTTTTAATGTCTATATAGTTTTTATTAACTTTTAGTTTACGTAAAGAAATTTTTATATGTTTTTAGTTTCAGTTAAAGGAACACGCCACTATTTTTGAAAATAGGCTCATTTTCCAACTCCCCTAGTGTTAAACAGTTGAGTTTTACCGTTTTCGAATCCATTCAGCCGATCTCCGGGTCTGGCGCTAGCACTTTTAGCTGTAGCTTAGCATAGATCATTGAATCTGATTAGACCGTTAGCATCTCGCTCAAAAATGACCAAAGAGTTTCGATATTTTTCCTATTTAAAACTTGACTCTTCTGTAGTTACATCATGTACTAAGACCGACAGAAAATGAAAAGATGTGATTTTCTAGGCCGATATGGCTAGGAACTATACTCTCATTCCGGCTTAATAATCAAGGAACTTTGCTGCCGTACCATGGGTGCAGCAGGCGCAATGATATTACGCAGCGCCTGAAAATAGGCTTATTGGAAGTTACCCGCTAGGGACTATTTTCAGGCGCTGCGTAATATCATTGCATCTGCTGCACCCATGGTACAAGTTAAACTCAACTGTTTAACTCTAGGGGAGTTGGAAAATGAGCCTATTTTCAAAAATAGTGGCGTGTTCCTTTAACAGTAATAACACTGGTTGGTTGATCGGCTCAACTGAGGTTACAGCTCTCCTGACATAGCAGCCAGGACTCGCATAATTCACACAGTTACTTCTGACCTTAAGTAATTAAAAGAAGCAACAAGACCAGTCCACACAAACACATGACAATGCACGCCAATTCCATGCTTCTCCAAATTACTTTTTTTGTTTGCATTTCCTTCTAGATTCTTCGGAGAAGCAGATTGGATGTGGTTAAGAGGAAAAGTGCTTCATTACAGAAACTGGGAGTTGGTTTCAATGGTGTTGTAAAACTTTCAGATACAAAATATTACAATTATTAGTTATAAGAAAATGAGATGTGCAAAGAAAAGAATCACAAATGGCACCTCTGTAATATTTATTTTATAGTGCATCTCCTACAGATCAAGGAGTAAAATGAAGAATTTCACTTATGTCTCCTGCTTCTCACATTGGTCTTCTAAAAAAAAGCACATGTAACTCTTCTAGACTAGAGTTGCAAAAGACCATCTCACCAGTGTCTTAAATTATGCACAGAGTCTGTGATTACAAGGCAGAGATTACAAGTCTCAAAACAACTCTCATCAAATTGATTTAACACACACACAACTTACCATACCATCCACATTTTTTACTCTTACTGTATTTCAACATTTTTACTCTTACTGTATTTCAACATTATTAGGAAAAACATCTGAGACAAAGTTGCTACTTAATCTAAACAAATTATGAAAGATCTGAGCAATAATCTTTCTCAGTCCTAAACTTTTAACAATAGTTTAAGGCAAATCAAGCAGACTACAGAAGCTTGACTTGAAAGCACTTCACACTTCAACAGAAAGTAGGTTTTATTCAGGGCGCTAGCATTTTGTGTAAACAGCTCATGAGTTGTTTTGGCAGCTTTGTAAATGAGAGATGTCTCCTCCAGATACAATTCACCAAACTAGGCTACCATCATCACACAGACAAGCGCGCGTTTGTTCAGAGCGCATCCAAGCTGTTCGCGCTCGTTCGATCGCTCTTATAATAACTATATCACATTGCGTCGCTTATACGATTCAGCAAGTAAACACCGTCCAACTTCAAATTGTGCATGAGCCAGCTGTATACTAAAAGGACTTGCAATGAACTTCTGTTTTCTAGGCGCGTGCAGGTATATGTGCGTTTCGGCATCAGCTGTCATTCTGGCTCACATTACAAGCAGGATGGTTTGGTAAACACTGAACCTAAACCTCTCTGTACACAGCAGATGTGTTTTGTGTGATGATCATCATGAAAGCTGGTCGTTGTGCATCTACCTGCAGTCCAAACACCCGCCTATCTATGATGCTTCGTTACCGGTTTCTCAACCTGCAATAAATTCTTAGAGCATCTACACACCTTATGAAAAGACTTGACAGGATAAACAACTCAACGTTCAATCTTACGACTTTTCGGGACAATTACAATAGAGAACGGGGGAAGGGGGGTACTCACGCTGCTATTTTCCCCCGTCCAGTGGACCATTGCCTGGTTGTGGGTGGCATCCCCTTTAAGGACGAAAGAGCTGCTGAGTAGAGAGACTTTCTCCGGAGTCGATGCCCTCCGGACTCGGACCCCGTTGTAATCTCCGCGGCTGTGCGCTGAGATAAGCGCTTCATCTCTGCCAGCGACATGCCCACCGCGGCTGTCAAGCTCTCGGTCCCGTACGTTTCTCTGGTTTATAACGCCGGTGTGACATGAAATCGGTCCGAACAGTGACATCCACGCGCAAGCCAAAAACACAGCTGGGTACAGGTGCGCCAAAACTGCCATGATGAGCGCCTTCATTTAACACTGTCTAAGCGAGTGCGATGCAAGCGAAAGATGGAAAGCTCTAATGTAAGAGAGAGGGAGGGAGGGAGGGAGAGAAAGAGAGAAATTGAGAGAGAGGGGAAGAGGGTGGGGAAGCAGAGCTACAAACCAGAGCGCGCTCTTGTGCTTGTATAGTAGACAGCTGAGACCGAGGAGAAGAACAGCCGTATTCGCCTGCCACCTAGTGGTGCTACTACACTCTTAAAAATAAAGGTGCTTCACGATGCCATAGAAGAACCTTTTTGTCTAAATGGTTCCATAAAGAACCTTTAACATCTGAAGAACCTTTCTGTTTCACAAAAGGTTGTTTGTGGCGAAAGAAGGTTCTTCAGATTATAAAAACACACCTGTGAGGTGGATGGATTATCTCGGCAAAGGAGAAGTGCTCACTAACACAGATTTAGACAGATTTGTGAACAATATTTGAGAGAAATAGGCCTTTTGTGTACACAGAAAAAGTCTTAGATCTTTGAGTTCAGCTCATGAAAAATGGGGGCAAAAACAAAAGTGTTGCATTTATAATTTTGTTTCAGTGTTTGTGTGTGTGTGTGTATTATATACATTCAAATATGAGTATGTGTGTATATATATATATATATATATATAGCAGACACAAGTATACCAACCCAAAGTCTAACATTAATGCAGGAATGTGGCTACAAATCCATGTAACGTTATGTAGAAAAAATTATAAAACACTGGCACAGTGCTAACAATTTCAATTTAATGACAACATTTTTACCTAGAAAGGGCCATCAGGTCAAACGTGAGGCCTAAGAATGACCCTTTCTTGGTTGAAATGTTTGTGGGAAACAAAAAAAATCTTTATTCAACCAGGAACTGATTCTAAGCCTAAATCAGGACACAAATTCGGATTTCCTTACCTCAATCTCTCATATGACTTACTGTCCAAGAGACAGACTTGGGCTAGACTGACTGAGAGTCAGAGGATTACTGGCCTAAATTTAAAGAGTAAACCATGTCAGCTGTCTGCTCTACAACCTAGAAGAAAATTCACAAACAAATGCCCTACTTTAATTCTGAATACTGGCAACTGCTAACAGTAAAATTCAAATTGTGATAATCAAATGATGAAAAAATAAAATTAGGGGTTTTTTTCATTCAGAGACTTCATGGCATGTAGTCTCACTACAGTACAAGAATTTCTGTCAATGTTTATTTCATGTCTGCATCTACATTTTACTTTTACATTATCAAGTGTAAACACGAATCTTCCAATACTGATTAAATGCGATTTCGACAGCAGATTTTACGTTTTCTGAATTGATGGACCTGGAGTGGTGTAAACGCTCGGCGTAGTTGAGTAACAAAGGTGTGAGGTAACCTTCAGTTGGCCTAGGAAAGACGCCGTCTCTTGTCACGTGCTGAATGTTTCGACCTTCCTCTCAGCCAAACTACAGAATTACGTCAGTTTTGTCTAGAACGAGGATTGGTGGTAAAGGACAACCCGTGTAAGAACAGAAGCTGTGATTGGTTGAATGAGACAGCCTCGCTCTGCAGGTCTCTCAGCGTGGACATTGAGTGAAGATGGCGACCTGGTGTGTGCGTGCGATCAGACAGGGCTCCTCTATCATAGCGTCCCCTTTACTTGTAAGGTAGGTTTTCACAGCAGTGTTATTGTGTGTAGTTGATGTCCATGCTTGGGTAAATATTTTGCTTTTACGGAAATGAATGACCTTTCTGTTACGCGAGCTGTTCACAAATGAATGATTGATGCTGATGTTCTAAGAAACCTCAGTTATATTCCTTCATGTGACAGTGTTTAGACAGCATTGTCTTTGTGTGTCAAGAGTTGTCCTGTAAGATACATTATACCTTTGCAGATTAGTTACATGGGATTATCGTTGCTTCTCAGTGAAATTTCCCTAAATGTCTTTCAGGTGTTTACCATAGCATTGCATATTACATACAGAACATGTTTCATTGAGTTCAGGATTTTGGTTTCAATCTCCTTAATCCTTTAAAAATAGTTTCCCCAATAAAAGACGTGCTAGTGTCAAAGCTACTTCTGAAGAGTCACTGAAGTGTATAACGTTACTAGTTGGTGTAGACTATCTCTTAACCAGTTGTAGACTTAGTTTTATACATACATTTTTGTAGAATCCCATGCCATTTAAATGTCCTACCATAAAATTAACCAGTTTAAGGTTCAAATGTTTGACATGCTCAAATGTAAAGCTTTCGTCTCGCATTCAGAGTTGAATGTTAAAGAAGCAGTTATCTATTTTTTTATCTATACGATTAATATTCATAAAGACAATGTCTGTTAAATTCAGCATGAAATAAAAATTCGCTAATACTATTTTCTAAATGCATGTCTTATTGTCAATGATCCATCCATGTATGTTTCATTAGCAATTTACTTTGTTGTTGCTATTATTATTATTATTAACCAAAATATCGGAAGATCCAGTTAAGATGAAAAATTCATGAAAAATGGGGGCAAAAACAAAAGTGTTGCGTTTATAATTTTGTTTCAGTGTATGTGTGTGTGTGTATTATATACATTCAAATATGAGTATATGTATGTATATATATATATATATATATATAGCAGACACAAGTATACCAACCCAAAGTCTAACATTAATGCAGGAATGTGGCTACAAATCCATGTAACGTTATGTAGAAAAAATTATAAAACACTGGCACAGTGCTAACAATTTCAATTTAATGACAACATTTTTACCTAGAAAGGGCCATCAGGTCAAACGTGAGGCCTAAGAATGACCCTTTCTTGGTTGAAATGTTTGTGGGAAACAAAAAAAAATCTTTATTCAACCAGGAACTGATTCTAAGCCTAAATCAGGACACAAGTTCGGATTTCCTTACCTCAATCTCTCATATGACTTACTGTCCAAGAGACAGACTTGGGCTAGACTGACTGAGAGTCAGAGGATTACTGGCCTAAATTTAAAGAGTAAACCATGTCAGCTGTCTGCTCTACAACCTAGAAGAAAATTCACAAACAAATGCCCTACTTTAATTCTGAATACTGGCAACTGCTAACAGTAAAATTCAAATTGTGATAATCAAATGATGAAAAAATAAAATTAGGGGTTTTTTTCATTCAGAGACTTCATGGCATGTAGTCTCACTACAGTACAAGAATTTCTGTCAATGTTTATTTCATGTCTGCATCTACATTTTACTTTTACATTATCAAGTGTAAACACGAATCTTCCAATACTGATTAAATGCGATTTCGACAGCAGATTTTACGTTTTCTGAATTGATGGACCTGGAGTGGTGTAAACGCTCGGCGTAGTTGAGTAACAAAGGTGTGAGGTAACCTTCAGTTGGCCTAGGAAAGACGCCGTCTCTTGTCACGTGCTGAATGTTTCGACCTTCCTCTCAGCCAAACTACAGAATTACGTCAGTTTTGTCTAGAACGAGGATTGGTGGTAAAGGACAACCCGTGTAAGAACAGAAGCTGTGATTGGTTGAATGAGACAGCCTCGCTCTGCAGGTCTCTCAGCGTGGACATTGAGTGAAGATGGCGACCTGGTGTGTGCGTGCGATCAGACAGGGCTCCTCTATCATAGCGTCCCCTTTACTTGTAAGGTAGGTTTTCACAGCAGTGTTATTGTGTGTAGTTGATGTCCATGCTTGGGTAAATATTTTGCTTTTACGGAAATGAATGACCTTTCTGTTACGCGAGCTGTTCACAAATGAATGATTGATGCTGATGTTCTAAGAAACCTCAGTTATATTCCTTCATGTGACAGTGTTTAGACAGCATTGTCTTTGTGTGTCAAGAGTTGTCCTGTAAGATACATTATACCTTTGCAGATTAGTTACATGGGATTATCGTTGCTTCTCAGTGAAATTTCCCTAAATGTCTTTCAGGTGTTTACCATAGCATTGCATATTACATACAGAACATGTTTCATTGAGTTCAGGATTTTGGTTTCAATCTCCTTAATCCTTTAAAAATAGTTTCCCCAATAAAAGACGTGCTAGTGTCAAAGCTACTTCTGAAGAGTCACTGAAGTGTATAACGTTACTAGTTGGTGTAGACTATCTCTTAACCAGTTGTAGACTTAGTTTTATACATACATTTTTGTAGAATCCTATGCCATTTAAATGTCCTACCATAAAATTAACCAGTTTAAGGTTCAAATGTTTGACATGCTCAAATGTAAAGCTTTCGTCTCGCATTCAGAGTTGAATGTTAAAGAAGCAGTTATCTATTTTTTTATCTATACGATTAATATTCATAAAGACAATGTCTGTTAAATTCAGCATGAAATAAAAATTCGCTAATACTATTTTCTAAATGCATGTCTTATTGTCAATGATCCATCCATGTATGTTTCATTAGCAATTTACTTTGTTGTTGCTATTATTATTATTATTATTAACCAAAATATCGGAAGATCCAGTTAAGATGAAAAATAAGTGTACAGGACTTTCCTGGTCCTTTAGTCCACTTAAACCCTGACCCTGCAAGCTCACGTTGGTCTGCCTCCATTTTTGAGTGCATGCCACATCTCAAAATCCAGTCAACAACCATTGCATAGAAGGAAGTCCCTGCCCTACATTTAGCCTTTTTTGATAATGTTACACTCGAATGTACGTCACAGTACAGAACGAATGGTTTACTTCATTTCATTGCTACTTTAAGTTCCAAAAAGGATAAAAGACGGCCTAAAAGCCTATTGATTAGCAAAGATGCCACAATTCAAGTTGTGTACTTCAGCGGGGCCCTTAGCCAGCAGAACAAGTGCCATTGAGATTGTTAAAGAATAACATTCTACTAGTATTCTCTAAACCTCCTTTTGGAAATAATAATGATAAATTGTTTTCTGGAGAGTTCTGCCTTTTAAGAATAAGCCTGTTTGACAGCAGCAAACACCCTTACTATAGGTTGGTTGCATACTAACAATGTATATAGCCTGTAACGCAAAAACTATTTGTGAATATTCTCATCTTTTAACTTTTCAGGGCGACTCCACGCCTCCTTTGCACAGCAGCCCAACAGAAAAGCTCAGGAACTGGGACTGAAGAAGAGAAACCAGAGCCCAGTGCAGCTGAGAAAGCCTTCATAGAAGAAAAGACACAACTGGAAGAACAGCTGAAAGATATTACGGTATTGCTGTGTTCTTAGTCTTAGCATCTGTTGTATAGAAGTTCTAGATGAAAGATGACCTAAAATCTGACAATAAAAGTTCTTGCAGTTCATAACCATGTAATTTCCCCCACACACCCTGACCTTTAATTGCCCTTGTAGTTTCTGCTGTCCCTGAGGACATTTTTATTTTTATTTTTTTAACAAATGCAAATTGGCAGATCATGTTTCAGATTAGTGATGTTCAGAGGATTTACTTGCCTGTAAATCAGCTGTAAAGTGTTCTAGACTTACTCAGAATGTCTTTGAGTCTCACACAGAGAGCAACTTCAGTTTCAGAATAATCATTACAGTAAATCCAGCACATTGTCAATATTCTTTATAAAATTCCTATTCAACACAAATTTACTGAGTTTTTTAGAAAATGAAAACAAACTATTGCAGGTATTAAAAAAAGAAACATTGCAAATAGTATGAGGTTTTGTAATTTGTCAAATAGGTGTTTTTCTATTATCTTTGTAGTTCACTGATCATTTCTTTTAAATTGTCTTTTGCTGAAGGATAAATACAAGCGGGCACTAGCAGACACTGAGAACCTTAGGCAAAGGAGTCAAAAGATGATTGATGATGCTAAGCTTTATGGTAAGCCATTATAATTATTTTATGAGCAGTTTTTATGAACCGCTCTGGATTTCTGGATTGGGTCAATTTGTAAAATGTTTTAACTCATCTCTTTTCTTAGGAATCCAGGGCTTCTGTAAAGATCTCTTGGAGGTGGCTGACATCTTGGAGAAGGCAACCGAAAGCGTACCAAAAACTGAAATATCTACTGCAAATCCGCACCTGAAAAATCTTTATGACGGCCTTGTAATGACTGAGGTGCAGATCCAAAAGGTCTTCCAAAAACACGGCCTTGTTAAGCTTAACCCTGATGGTCAGAAGTTTGACCCTTATGAGCATGAGGCTGTCTTTCATGCACCTATTGAGGGCAAGGAGCCAGGTACCATAGCTGTAGTTACCAAAGTAGGCTACAAGCTGCACGGTCGCAACCTCCGGCCAGCTCTGGTGGGTGTAGTCAAAGCCCCCTAACTGGTCGTACACACTATGCTGGTTATTGCCTGGTCAACTGATCGGTTTCTGTAATTTAGCTGATCTTAGGTTTCACATTTTCTTTCTTTGTTAAAGGTGCCTCTGAGAGGTGAAATCCAATATATTGACTTGTGTGTGGTAGAAGATTCGGAGAATTGAATCTGTGAATTGAATTGGCTTTAACAGTATTCTCTGGAGGATCGTTCGTTACCATTCCAGGGACTTGTGAGATCTAAAGAAACAGAATCTTTTGAAGAATCTAAAGCTTTTAAAGAAACACTGCAGCATATTACCTTGTTGAACACATTTTATGCTTATTAAACGTATTTGCTCTTATTAATTACTTTACTGAAGAACGTAACCAGTTTGGTGATGTCTATGACAGCAGTTGTGAGATTCCACTTTTTTTTTTTTCAGTGTTATGCAGGTTTTTGAATTTTTGTATGAGAGAATAGTTAGTCTTCTTTACAGAACTTGGAGTAATATTTTATCCAAAAATAAAATGAATAATTTTACAATTTACCTACTGGCAGTTGTACTTGCTAACTTTCACAGTTTCATAGTGTGCAAACCTGATGAAATATCAACTACTGATGTTTTATGAAGATCTGGGTAACAGAAGGATGGCCACTTAAGGCTGCTTGAGAGATCAGTCATTTAGAAATTGTGGTTGTAATATGAAAAGAATGATGCCATGCAGACAACTGGAGAGAATAGTTAGTCTTCTTTACAGAACTTGGAGTAATATTTTATCCAAAAATAAAATGAATAATTTTACAATAATTTACCTACTGGCAGTTGTACTTGCTAACTTTCACAGTTTCATAGTGTGCAAACCTGATGAAATATCAACTACTGATGTTTTATGAAGATCTGGGTAACAGAAGGATGGCCACTTAAGGCTGCTTGAGAGATCAGTCATTTAGAAATTGTGGTTGTAATATGAAAAGAATGATGCCATGCAGACAACTGTTAAATAAAGCATGTATCTCTTTTCAAATGTAGTCATTACATTTTCAATGGGTTTGTTATTCATTTTTGGTGAAAAGAAAGGTGCAATGGTATATTAAGGTTATCTGAATGGAAGTATATACAGTGGGTACAGAAAGTATTCAGACCCCCTTAAATTTTTCACTTTGTTATATTGCAGCCATTTGCTAAAATCATTTAAGTTAATTTTTTTCCTCATTAATGTACACATAGCACCCCACAAATGGCTGCAATATAACAGAGTGAAAAATTTAAGGGGGTCTGAATACTTTACACTGTAGTGTACATACTTGGATATATTTCTCAAATGGCTCATATAAAAACATGACCGTTTAAAAATTACAGTTTTCTTATAGATTCTATTTAGATTATGCCTTCTGATATGATTTTTTTTTTTTTTTTTTTTTACAGGTTTAGGCAAGGCACCATTTTTTTTAAATTTTACTTAGGTTATATTTCAACACTTTAATACAAAGTAGGACATAACATGACATATGCAATAAAATACTTTCCATATACTCAACATTTTGACAAATATGATCCTTCCAAATGCACAATTTTACCAGAAAACATGTCATAACTAAGCAAAAAATATATTTTTTTAAATGTCACATTGTTTTTAAAAAAAATTATAAAAACGTACTTGCGATGGTACCTGGTCGTTCTCGCTCTTTATCCTTTTTGTCCCGTCCCAGAAAGGCTGGCACTAAATTGTAATCACGAGCGATGTTTTTGCGTCGCTGGCGCTCACGCAGCTTACGCACGTACATGTCCACATGGGCTCGTTTCATCTCGATCTCGATATCTTCATCATCGTAGTTTACAGACAGGCCACTGATGAGTTTCTCTGCCTCTTGGTCATATTCGATCTCGTAGTCGTCACGAAGCGGCATATATCCCAGCTGCTGCTGCTCTGCCACAGATATGTCTAATGGGGGCAACGGGGTAGTCAAACTAGGAGACAGCGGACCTCCGCTGGGACAAGTGTGGTCTGTCACGCGGTTGGGGATGCTGTCAGGGATGCAGGCTTTACCCAGATTCCCATGGATATACATGCTCACATAATGGTCCATGACCTCCTGAGGGGTGCGTGATGCACCCACATGGGCGGCCATATCCTCCTAACACACAGAAATAAACAAAGATACAGAGTTAGTTCATTCAAACATTAAATTCTGTCATTTACTCTCCCTCATGTCAGTGCAAATGCATATGTCATTCATTTACAAATCACAAATAAAGATGACAGCTGTCTCTTTAGAAGACATAAATTAAACCACTCGATTCATATGGATAATGTTTACAATGTTTTTTGAAGCATCAAAGTTTTGGTGACATAGCCTTTCAATTGAGGGACAAAAATCTCATCATGTTTTATTAAAAAAAAAAACATCAGGTTGAGTTTAGAAGATAACAAAAGCCTTATGAGTTTGAAACGATATGAGGGTGAGTAAATAAACTAAGCCTTTAACATACAGGTCATAATAATATCAAAGTTACAAACTCAAACATTATTATTATTTCTTAACATACATTATATTAATGCAAATATAACTTAATGAATATAACCTGCTTTCAGCAATAGTGCACAGTACAGTTTGTTCTCTCTGTGGAAACGCTATATTGTGCAGTTTATTATGAATGAGCAAAACTTTAAATGGGTTGTAAAATTCATTTCTGCAATTCATTTCATTGGGTTAAATAATCCTGTAATACAATATGCAGCACAGACCTAGGGGATATGCTTGGTTCTTAAAAAAACTATTTCTAAGTTTCTTCAACTAAGCAATGCACCATTTGTTGCAGACTAAGCATGACCATTGTGTATTGATGTGCACATTTGGCCATGCAAAGGAAGTTTATTAAAGGCGCATCAATATGGACTCATTTGAGAATCGTACCCAGTTACCAAATCCATATTGCTCGATAGCATCGAGCAGCGACTGCTCTTCCCTGCTAGTCCATCCTCCCTCTGCATCGGGACCCCAGAGCGAGAAGCGCCCGCCGTCAACTTGCTGATAGCCATGCCATCGCCTGTGGTTACCGATTTCGGCACCTGCGGAGAAGCACTCCGGACAAAGTTCAATATCCTGGCATTCGGCACAGCGAATCCGCAAATTCGTAACATCTGCCAAGCAGTTCACGCAGTACTTCTTCCCTAGGTCGGCCATATTGCTTACTACCGCTTGTTGTTGGAAGCAGCAGTGGCACGGGGCTGGGCATGCGCAGTGGAGTATCTCCGGTCACGCCGCTGCGTCTTATTAATATTAATAAGGACACAGCGAACGCTTGCGATTGGCTCTCGCTCTGGGTGCCCATGGCAACAGGCACGCACTCCCGTACAGACACAAAATAGTTGAGGCAAGCGTCTTTCATGAGCTAAACATTGATTTACTTTAGAGAAATTACATGTAATTATTTTAATAATTAAAAAAAAAACTTTGTAAATTCAATCATATACAATGGAAGAGGAGTCATTAGAGCTAAAACATGAAGAAAGTCCTGTTTTAGAAAATACTCTGGTGGAAAACACTGAAACAACTGAGGATCCAACAGAGGCAGCAAGTGCTCAGGTTGGGGAGGAAGAATCTGAAGCAACTGAACCTCTTAACATCTCAGAAGGTGTTGAGGATGATGTGGTCAAGCAGGGTTCACAGCTGACAGAAGACATGTCTATTGCTGAGACAAGTGAAGCACAGATAGCTGAAACCGAGTTTGGGCAACATATGATAACAGAAGAGGAGGATGGAATAGAACCCCTTATAAATGATGTTGAGGCAAGCGTCTTTCATGAGCTAAACATTGATTTACTTTAGAGAAATTACATGTAATTATTTTAATAATTTAAAAAAAACTTTGTAAATTCAATCATATACAATGGAAAAGGAGTCATTAGAGCTAAAACATGAAGAAAGTCCTGTTTTAGAAAATACTCTGGTGGAAAACACTGAAACAACTGAGGATCCAACAGAGGCAGCAAGTGCTCAGGTTGGGGAGGAAGAATCTGAAGCAACTGAACCTCTTAACATCTCAGAAGGTGTTGAGGATGATGTGGTCAAGCAGGGTTCACAGCTGACAGAAGACATGTCTATTGCTGAGACAAGTGAAGCACAGATAGCTGAAACCGAGTTTGGGCAACATATGATAACAGAAGAGGAGGATGGAATAGAACCCCTTATAAATGAGACCTTGGAGGACACTGAGGGTCCTGAAATAGGACATTTTATTGACGATCTTCTATCTCGTGAGGACACTGAGGAGGAAGAGGAGGAGGATAGACATCCAGCTGGTCCTGACCCAGAGAGAGAGAGGACCAGCCCTCCTAATGAATCAACGGTGCCTGCAGAAGAAGAGGAGACTGGCCTCAACATCAACACTACAGAATATATGGCCCTGCTACCTGAACTACAGGCTGAGAGTGAAACACTCAACAAGCTAAATGGTCAGCTGCAGACCAAAATAGCAGAATACCTCAGTAAGAAGGCAGGTGATAAACATCCCAGACTGGACGGAGATATCTCAGACCAGGAGCAGTACCAAAAGTACCTGGATCTCATGGAGGAGCTAAAAGTGCAGCACCACCGTGTCTCAGAGCTCCACCAACAGCGGACTGAGGAGCTCCGCCAGCAGAGCTTAGAGAAACTGAAGCAGGTGGAGCACGAGCTGAGATCCCTAGCTGCACTGAAATATGAAGCTGCTGTGACAGCACTGACCGGTAAGGTGGGCAAACAGGCAGCACTGGCAAAGGTGGAGAAGCTGCAGTCAGACGAACTGAAGCAGGAAGACAAGCTGGCATCCGTGCGTCTCAACAACATCAAGCTCAAGAACAAAATATGTCAGCTTGAGACGGAACTTAAATCCAAGCGTGAGCTTGCTGATGGCTTGCTGCTGATGGACTTTGAGCAGCTCAAAACAGAGAACCAGACATTTAAAGACAAGCTGAAGGAGCGCAGCGAGGAGCTACTTAGGCTGAAAAGGAAGGTTGCCTGCTCCGTGCAGGTAAATGAGATTTTTTTTAATGAATGAATGAATGTGTGTGTGTGTGTGTGTGTGTGTGTTTTCCACCTCATTTCAGGAGTGAAATTAGTTTTTGTGGTCATCGGGAGCATGTAAATGTTAAAAATAAATTATATATTAATATATTGAAATAATTATATATAATTATTATTAATAAGGTAATAATAAAAATATTTTATATAAATGTATTAATAAAAATGAATTATATATATATAATTATTTCATTATATAAATAGCTGAATGCCCAACTTCAAGTCTTTTAAAACGTTGTGCATATAAGCTATTCATATAATATAGGTTATGTAACAACATAACAACTTACATAATAAGTTTACCATTATCCATAAAATGCATTGTGTGTAGCAACCTATATTGTTTCCAAAATTGTGTTTTTACAAATTTTTTGTCCCACAACTTCAGGGCATTTCCCATGTGAAAGAGAAGCTGCATTTCATGCAGATGGAGAATAAGGTCAAACACACTCAACTGGTGAAGACAGACACATTGGTGGCTCTTAAACGTGAAGTGCTGACACGTACTCGACAGGCTCGTGACGGCCTGCGTGCAGACAACCTTAAGCTGCAGCAGCGCTGTGGCCTGCTGGGAAACACCACACTGCTGCAGGACTTTGAGGAGAAGGTAGACACCTCTGAATGCCTGCAGCAGAGACTAGAGATGTTGAAGAGACGTCACGCTGAGCTCACGCTGAAGTGTGCTGGAGTCAAGCAGAAGATCGAGCAAAGCAAACCAGAGGGCCAGTGACAACACAGGTGCACGTGCTTCCCTTCAGTAATGGAGTTAAATGCAATGAATAGAATGTAACTTGACAAAGCGTATCTTTTGCAAAGCGTTAAAGTTTATAGAAAAGTTTGGTGAGATATAATACTTTGTAATAATTTGTTATAATAATTTGTCATCTTAAATAGTATTCACATAGTATTTATCTTAGTTATTTTCTTTTGTTGATTGTCTTGATTGTCACAGTACCAAACGTGCTTATAGAGGTTAGCACTCAATTAAAGAAGAACACATGACTTCGTTCATTTTGCTAACAGGCAATGGCACCACTACTTTAAAGGATGCTGCTGAAGTTTTTATTCTTAAGTGCAAAGCAGAAGAAATTCATGTATATGGATTTTCTAATCTACCTTATCAATTAACATCGACAGCAACAACATTTTTCATGTTTATATATTTTTACATATAAATTTAAACATGTGCATTAACAGCACCCAAACATTTTTTGAGACAGCCACCATTTTTTCTGTAGACAGAAAAAAAAATTTGTTCACTTTAGATTTTGAGTGGCTATTTGATTAAACTTGTCATGTTGTCTATGCTGTTGACATACAACAAGAATTTTACAAAAATATTCATAAGGATATTAATTTGTCAGTTTTGTGGTATGTTGTACTTTATTGGAAGTGCATAATAGAAGACAATTATTATATAATTAAGTAGAAAAAAAAAAAGTCAAAAGTTTCTTTAATCAATCATGAAATTATGATGTGGTAAAATACCATATATGGTGCTAATACAGCTTGAAGTTAATGATTAAGGTGCTGTATAGCAATCATGTCGCTATCAGTAAAATCAATGTGACTGCTGTATGTTTACATGCATGATGCTGCAGAAAAAATAGCACTACAGTTAGAAAAGTTATTTTCACATTTAATGCAGAAGATTAAAGATATAGCAGACTGGGACAGTAAACATGCAGTCATTTGTCATGATACCATAACAATGAAAAATAATAGATCAGCACAAGAAGATTACTGAGCCAATTATTCAGTTATGAAACAAGGTAAAACACCGTCATTCCAGCTGCATCACCAAAGATCACGATCATTGATTGCTTTCATGGTATCTTCACCCAGCTCAGCTGAGGATCCGCGCAGACACGATAACCCTTCTTTGTGACAAAACTGATAGAAGGAAAAGATCACAGTTACTCCACACAGCAATCATACAAACTTACACAATATAATGAATTTCCATTCAACAGTCTCAATGTTGACAAATTACACATTATTAAGGTTTATTACAGTCATTTGCATCATTGTCTTTTACAGAATTAGGAATGAAAATGAAAACAGGCAATGGCAAAACTCACATGACTCCAGGTTTGGCACATTACATTCTTGTTGTCACCATGTAGGAATCAATTTTAGCGAATTGTTCTCCCATAATAATTAAAACAGCATTCAGTTGGTAAATTGGCATCTGTGTTGAAAAATGTCATTTATTTATATAATGGGCCAATTATTATAAAAACAGCTAAATTGGCTTTATTTGTTATCTCAAACAGTATCTAAAGCAGTGGTCTCAAACTTAATTCCTGGAGGGCCACAGCTCTGCTTTAGAGTTTAGCTCCAACCAGCTCCAACTCACACACCTGCTTGGAAGTTTCTAGTAATCCTGAAGACCTTGATTAGCTGGGGCAGGTGTAATTGTTTAGGGTAGGAGCTAAACTTTGAAGAGCTGTGGCCCTCCGGGAATTTGAGACCAATGATCTAAAGCAGGGGTGTCCAAACTCTGTCCTGGAGGGCCGGTGTCCTGAAGAGTTTAGCTCCAACCCCAATTAAACACACCTGAACCACCTAATCAAGCGCTTACTAGGCATACTAGAAACTTCCAGGCAGGTTTGTTGAGGCAAGTTGGAGCTAAACTCTGCAGGACCAATTATTATAAAAACAGCTAAATTGGCTTTATTTGTTATCTCAAACAGTATCTAAAGCAGTGGTCTCAAACTTAATTCCTGGAGGGCCACAGCTCTGCTTTAGAGTTTAGCTCCAACCAGCTCCAACTCACACACCTGCTTGGAAGTTTCTAGTAATCCTGAAGACCTTGATTAGCTGGAGCAGGTGTAATTGTTTAGGGTAGGAGCTAAACTTTGAAGAGCTGTGGCCCTCCGGGAATTTGAGACCAATGATCTAAAGCAGGGGTGTCCAAACTCGGTCCTGGCGGGCCGGTGTCCTGAAGAGTTTAGCTCCAACCCCAATTAAACACACCTGAACCACCTAATCAAGCTCTTACTAGGCATACTAGAAACTTCCAGGCAGGTTTGTTGAGGCAAGTTGGAGCTAAACTCTGCAGGACACCGGCCCTCCAGGACTGAGTTTGGGCACCCCTGATCTAAAGCTTTATATCACAGTTCTTTTCTTAATATGTTTATCACAGTGGCAGCAGATGGCGCTATTTGTCACATCAAGTCAATTGGGCAACCACTTCTGTCCATTCTAATTCTAATTCTAGTTCTATTATTCTAATGTATTCTTGAAAGAACTCGATTTCACATATTTGACATTGAATTACAGAGGGTAGTGCTCAACAAACAAATGATGTTTGGCTTTAGCACGTGACTTTTGCAGTGTCCGAGTGGAAAAACATGCTTCAGCTGTATTTTCCAAGCCGTTGCTGGAAGGTCATGGTGGAACATTTAAAGAATTTTTAAGGTGTTTTCCATTTAACATTATAGGTGATGCTGGTTTTGCTAATTAGACGCAATCTATTTTAAAAACAATGAGCAGGATATGGCCTCCCACAGGAAATGCAGCTGAAGGTGGTACAGGGTCATGGACATAAGCGGTCGACCACAAATTCTAGTGCTCCGCTGACAGCTTCGAGGTGTTATCATCTATTGACACATTTATATGCAGATGAGAAACTAGTGCTATTAAAAGACAACACCTGAACACCAGACCACCAACACATTCTGCAATAGACAACATTTCGTTGTGCAATACTATGCTGATCTTTTAAAAATGTCCAAAATGATGTTAGGAATGCTCATATTCGTAGGCTTGTCTAGCTTGTTTTATTTGAGGCCCTTTTATACTTTAATGATCAAGGTATAACTGGTCATCAGTTCTTTGAATGATCTTGCTTTCAGAAGTCATTTATTAATACGTTATGTGAAAAAGTTCAGTCCTGAGAGACTATGCAGCAACTTCACATAGGGAGAAATCTGAGGTCTGCTAGCTCTAAAAAAAAAAACTTATAGTAGTGATCTTTCATAAAAACAACACCTCATGATCTTGACAGGTTGTATGAGGAAGGAACATATTTTAGTTCAGTTTTTTTAGCTGTATCTGTTTTAAATTATGCATCTTACTAATATTACCAGTTTAGATCAAGTTGGCTTATGGAAATCCATGTGTAATTCTGGAACTCCAGTCCCTTGTTCATCAGCACTGCAGTATTTTTTTTAAATATTCTTTAGTCACAATACACCATTGTCTGTGCTGTGTTGGGTCTGCTGTACTGAATGCTATCCTCACTAGTTTAAAGGACCTTGTTGAATTATTTGTGCAAAACAGGAAATTAATACATTCTATGGACACAGAAAAGGTCAATAATTAGTGACACCTGAATAGATAACATGAGCATATGCATACTTACACTTACAGTTGTGCTCAAAATTATTCATACCCTTGGTAAATATGATCAATAAAAGGCTGTAAAAATCAATCTGTATCATCAATCCTTTAGATATTTTATTTTTAAAAATTTACTAAAATCTAGCATTTCATTGGAGAATAAGAGTTTAAAATGGGAGAGAAATCCCATTATGAAATAAATGTTTTTCTCTAATACTCATTGGTCACAATTAATCATACCCTTTTATCCAATATTTTTTGCAACCTCCTTTTGCCAAGAGAACAGCTCTGAGTCTTCACCTATAATGCCTGAAGAGTTTAGACAGGACATCAGAGACCATTCCTTCATACAGAATCTCTCCAGACCCTTCAGATTCCCAGCTGCATGTTGATGCTTCTCCTCTTCAGTTCACCACACTCATTTGTCCTGTTGGAAGATCCAACCATGGCCCATTATAAGATTTCTATCATGGACAGTCCGTTTTAAATTTTTTATACATTGGTATTTTATAGAATCCATTATGGTAATTATTTTATGCATTGCTGCACATGCAACAAATATCAGGAACATTTGTTAGGCTAAAATAAGATCAAACGCAATAATTATCAAACAGTAAATTTAAGAAAAAGAGGAATAAAAATAACCATAAATTGTAACTATTTACATACCGTAATTATTTTACACATTGATGCAAATGCAACAGACAGTATTACAGTGTCTCTTGCACACTGGAAGTTTGCACTTTATGCAAAAACTGCTGGTTTTCACATCCTTTGGCCAGCACATTTGGCACCTTTTTCTTTTCTGTGAGAGACTGGTCATAGAGGAATGAGACGTGGAGGGACCAGCTGCGGAGGGACCAGCCGTGGAGGCACCTGCTGTGAAGGAACCAGCCGTGGAGGGACCAGCTGTGGAGGCACATGCCGTGAAGGAACCAGCTCCAAAGGGACCAGCTGCAGAAGGACCAGCCGTGGAGGAGCCGGCTCCTAGGAAAATATAACTCAAATGCTGATTTTATGTCTTCAGCTCTTGAACAGGCATACCTTGTGGGCCCAGGTGTCTTTCTGATGATCTCCTCTGTTCGTGCTGTTCCTGGTGTTTGTGGTGGAGGAGACGAACTCCAAAGTATTTCCCCATTTTTAGAGAGAAAATTTGGATCTTCCTCAGGGCATTCCTCCTCTGAATCCTCATCTGAATGCTGCTCCTCTGTGATCTCAAAATCAGGGTCAGCCTCTGTAAAGTCTTCCTCTGCATCAGAAGGGTCATCTGGTTCACTACTTTCTTCATTTTCACTTGACTGAAGCAACTGTTCCAGGGCCACTTGAGCAGTGTATCTTCTTGACATTTTGGTGAAGAATGAACTGTGCCCAGGTCTTCACTGTTTTTGGTGCTATGAAACAGATTCTCTGATTGGTCTGGTGGTTACTGGAGGAGAATATTTGATCCATGATCTTATAGTAGCCGTGGCAGCAGGCAGGGGGAAAGGTGATTGTTTTATAAACAAATATTGTGATTGGCCTGGAGTGTGTGTGTGTGTAAGAGAGAGAGAATGAGTAATAATTTATGATTTATTGATTTTATTTCAATAAAAGCGGTCTTACTCTGATGCAGTCTTACCAGTTCATTTGTGTGTGTGTGTGTGTATGAGAGCGAGAAAGCGAGACTTTTTTTTCATTTATTGATTTTATTTCACATATTCTCACAATGTGCTCTGTTGCAGTCTTACCAGTTCATTTCTGGGTGTGTGTGTGTGTGTGTGTGAGAGAGGCTCTTTTGTTTTAGTTTTTTTCATTTCTTGATTTTATTTCACATATTCTCAAAATTTATCTTAAGTCAAGTCAAGTCAAGTCACCTTTATTTATATAGCGCTTTTAACAATACAGATTGTGTCAAAGCAACTGAACAGCATTAATTAGGAAAATAGTGTCAATAATGCAAAGTGTTTTTTTTTGAGAGAATGGGTATAACTGTTGTACCATGGCGCAGTACGTTTTTCTCTAACCTTTTTCAATTTGATGGGGGCAACAGCTTCTAATGTATTAGAGAAGATAGTGCCCATGTTGCTAGTCATTTTGTCTAGTTCATGTGTACTTATTGGTACACAGAGCAGTTGAGATAAATCAGGCAGGTTATTTGTGAATCTGTCTTTGGTGGCTGGAACAATAGTTCTGCCCTGATGATAACGCGGAGCCATATAGTTAACATCAGTAATATGCAGCATGCAAGATACAAGGAAATGGTCAGTAACATCATCACTTTGAGGTACGATATCTATATCAGTAAGATCAATTCCATGTGATATAATTAAATCTAGCGTAGGCTATGATTAAAACGATGAGTGGGCCCGGTGACGTTTTGCTTGACTCCAAGAGTTTATTAGGTCAGTAAACGCAAGTCCTAATGCATCATTTGTATTATCAACGTGAATGTTAAAATCTCCGACAGTCTTACCAGCTCATTTCTGTGCGCGCACACGTGAGAGAGAGCCTCTTTTGTATTTTGTATTTTTTTCATTTCTTGATTTATTTCACATATTTTCAAAATTTGCTCTTTTGAAGTCTTACCAGTTAATTTCTGTCTATTTTGCACTCTTGGTATTTTAGAGTCACCCCTTGATTGCTGCACACTTTTTTTCTGACCAGTGGCTGATTTGTAGTTTATACCACCAAAAGAATCATTTTTTTCACATTTTCACATTTTTTCGTATTTCCCATTCATTTTCTGTCTGTCATTTGTGACCGAGAAGAAGTCAAGTGTGACTATTTTTTTTTAATATAAATAACCTTTTAACATATCCAAATCATGTCCATGATTTTATTGTGTTCATATTATATTGCTAATGTGACAAAAGTCACCAAGTGTCATCTCATTCCGATGAAGCTAAGATTTTTACAGTTTCAAAATATAAAATATTTTTTGATAAAAAATTACAGAAGAGGGCCAGAGGGTTAATAATAGGCCTATTTCATATATTTATTATTAGAAATAAATAGTAAAAACGTTAAATAAATATTAAGCTGTGCTTTAAAGAGTTCCCTTAAGAGAACCTGAAGTTAATTTGGTTCTTCTACCATTTATATGACCTTTTTTTCTGTCAGTCAATTTTGATTTATTTGATCTCGTTTTGAATAAGCCGTTATGCCGTTGTTTCTGATGTACAGTAAAACTGAGGAATGCTGATGATTTTACAACAATATTCATCAGAAGGCATTTTGTGTTCCGTTTTATTAGAATTAAGAACATTGTAAAAGACAACTGTTTTTACACCGAATAAAACAAAAGCAAAAGATTTTTTCAGTTTACACATAAGAAAGCCTATCATAAATCATCCCTGTAATCCTGGTAAGAACAGGGTGATTGTTTTCTGTTTACATGTGTTATTTTGCAGTAAAATTAACACTACAGTTAAAGGTAAAACAATTAGTTTAGCATTTAAAGCAGAATGTTAAAGAAATACTAAGCTCATCAAAACAATGCATTTACTTGACGTAATGCCTCACATGATAACAATGAAAAGAATGACAGAGCATTACAGGAAGAGGGTTTACTGAGCTAGTACTTCACTTAAGAAACAAACAAAAGCGTTCCTGTGAGCATGTTGATCATCACCAAAGATCACGATCATCGAATGCTTTCATGGCACTCTTCACCCAGCTCAGCTGAGGATCCGTGCAGATACGATAACCCTTCTTTGTGACAAAACTGATAGAAGGAAAAGATCACAGTTACTCCACACAGAACTCATTATACACAGTATAATAGATTTCCATTCAACAGTCTTGACAAGTTATTATGATTGTGATGACAAATGAAAACTCACATGACCCCTGGTTTGACGCATTCCACTCTTGTCTCCATGTAGGAATCAATTTTAGCAATGGGGATTTTTCTCCCACGATAATTAAAACAGCATTCAGATGGTAAATTTGCATCTGTGTTGAAAAATATAATTCATGTAATAAATATTTTGACGTCAATCACCTAAATGTTAACAGAAATTGCTCCTTGTAGAAAAATCATTAGATCACTAATTCACTCTTGGAAATGAGCTTTACAACAGTGATAAAGCCTTTTTTTTGGGATAAATGTCAGTTCACACCACTGAACAAATAAATAATGAAACTTTCGGGTGACTTACTGTTGCCCATTACACTGGACTGGAGGAATGCAACCGCCAGAAGACCAATGAAAAGACAAAGACAATACTGACGCATAGCTGCAGATGGCTCTTCTTCTTCTTGAGATAACGCTGATATGTACTATAAACTTTACCATGGGTTTTAACGGTAAAAGAGGAGGGGGCGAGTGTGGTTTTAGTAAGGGGGCAGGTTATAGGAGAGAAATGTTCCACTGTGATCAAATCAGAAAAAAAGTGCTCATAAGCCTTACAGGAAACAGTTTTGTGGTTATTTCATGTAGCAAAACGGCACCTCATGTATGACTCACCATCTCAGTGCCATTATTCTCAATGTGCACACTAATGAAGTGAACAGGCAATAGAACACGAATATATACAACTTTATTTCTTACTATATCATCTGTATTCTGTACTGACACAACAAAAGCAAAGGCAGCATTTTTGGACAAAAGGACAAACAGAAGAACAGAGATTGGTCAAAGCGGGTTGTGAGAGCTGTGTCAGTGTATGCTCAAATAACATCTGAAAGCTTCAAGTGTACACAGTCTGCACACGTTTCAATGCTCATACAGTGTTGATACAGATGAATAAAAAGCTCACATTAAATAGTTTGGACTGGCCAGTTATTCATATGTGGGCACAGATGCATTGCACATCCTAATGCCTTCATCTTACCCCCTAATTCTGTCAATTCCCACATAAAACACAAACACATTGCACAATACACTACTCTACTTCATTACCAACATATCATGTGTTCCTGGATGGCCTTTGCTCTTTTGAACAGCATGAATTGTTTATGATGATGCGCACACTCAAGTACTCGCAACATAACATGAAGTTGTTCTCACACACACACACACACACACACACACGTCCTCTTTCATTACAAATAAGATTGTATTCACTCCTTTTAGTGTACACTCCTTTTATTTTGAACTCAAACAGCTGAAAGCACTGGATACATATGAAGTCTTCTAAGTTCTTTTTCTGAGATATGCAAGTTATTTCAAAACCTTGGACTTAAGGCAAAAATAAAAAGCCATTAACTTAAAGCTCCTGGTGTGTGTCCCCCAGATATAAAAAATATTTTTAAAATTGAGGGCAATGAATAATCGGATTATAATGAAAACAACCAACATTAACGCAAAACAAGTTCCTGGGGTTCCTATATGGTAATGAATAAGAAACAAAACATGAAATAGCAGAGAGCATAGTAAAGACGACAGTGTAAATCTATGAAAAAGGAAAGAAAATGTGCAAAGCAGCTTATTGCAGTAGTGTGGTTTAGACCACAAAAAAGGTGGGAGGTTTTCCTTCGATCACAGTGATCACAAAGCAGTGAAATCTCACCACATTATCTTGATAAGATCTGAACATACACTTACTTTGGAGTGTGCAAGATATCAAGTGCCATTCAATATTCTGGTGCCTTCATAGCTTGTTTACATATTACTGTGTGTACATACAGTACACACACTTACACTCTCTGAGAGGATATGAAATTGAGCTTTTTCTTCACAAAAATAATAATCCATGAACTTCCCTGATTTCTAATCAATATAATAAATAAGCATCTGAATGCTTAATGTGATACTGTCAATACTTCTCAGTGAAAAACATTCACCAAAATGACATTCACTTCTCTAAACTTAAAAAAAAGTGGAAAATGCTGTTATTGTCGTTACATATTATGGTCCCAAAAATTAGGCCAGTTTAGTGCATGTTATTTACATGAAACAAGTAAAGACTTTAAGTATTATAACATGGTATTTGATCAATTTGATCTGATTTTAATCTCAATCTGATGAAGTGTTGAATGTCAGGAATAATTTACTGCAAAATATAGAGAGGCTTGTTTCTCTGTTATTAATAAAGACAATATGAGATGTCAAGCATAATGCTGCGACGAGCCGTATGACTGAAAACCACCATCATCACTGAACTCGTACTCCTACCCAATCTCTCATCTACCTTCTTTTCAACACTTCAACCACCATGAGATCCAAGCTGCACCACAATGTTAAAGCCACATTTATTATGCTAAATCCTGTTCTGTAAGCATGAATTGAAACCAAACTTTGGAACTTCAGAAACGCTGGTATTCCAGGATGTTTGGTTTTGGACTGGCACAACACTTTCTATAAAAAAAGAGAAAAAAGTAAAAAGGGACAGAGAATCCAGTAACAATACCATGAACACAGCAATATCTTTCAGTATGCACTCAAATCTCTGAATAAAGACATTTGTGAGACAGAAACACAGATTACAGACACAGGGAGTAAGAGGTAGAATAAATAATAGTTCAGTGTGCAATAAGTCTTAGAAACAATGGAAAAATCAACACAGGAGAAAACATACAACAAATAAAAACAACCTCAGAAAACCACAGGAAAACATTTTGCTTAAATGGAAATGTCTCGTTTAAGCTGAGGGAGGCCGAAAAGAAAGTAATGAGAGGACAGAGACATGAAATAAAACTCGCATTGCCACACCTAACTGAGAATCAGGAGTGTACATTCATGTGATGTGTTGCCTCTGTTCCAGCTCTGTGAGGTCCGTTTGTGTTCCCAGGCATCAGTTTGTATGGAAGTGGCCACTGGAACTGATATTCTCTGATGAGGAGTACCCATGGACAGTCAACATGACTTTCTCTCTCAGTCTCTGTGAGGTGGAAGAGAAGACATGAGGTTGCATCCTTAGCGTTTCAGTAGCGGACTGCCACGGTCTTGTCCTTTCTGCAAAGTCTGAAGAACCTAGAGGTACAAAAGAATGAAAAAAATAAGACTAGTGAAGTAAAAACACAATTAAAATAATGAACAGCATTGTATCACTCTACTATTTATTAACATTTAATCCTTTTTTAACAAAAATATAATTCCGAAAGTATTCAGACCCTCTCATTTATTATACTTTGTTGCAGCCTTGTGCTAAAATGCTTTTAAATTCAGTTTTTTAATACATTTGCAGAGTTATTAAAATCTAGTGTCTGCTCTGTCACTACAGTTTATGAAGTGTGGAAAAAAAATTGCATTTTACCATAAGGCTGCAACATAAAATGTGAAATATGGGGGGTTCTCAATCCACTGTATATTCACCGTACATTCAAAATGTTGGGGTCAGTCAAATTTGTCTTGAAAGAAACAGATCACTTTATTTAGCAAGGACAAATTAAATGATCAAAAAATGACAGTAAAGAAAGTCAAGTATAACATTAAACAGATTTCCATTTCAAATAAAACCTGTTCTTTTAAACTTCATCAATGAATCCTGAAAGAATGTGTCACTGTTTCCACATAAATCTTAAATGTTTTCAGCATTGATGATAATGAGAAATGTGTTGTAAAGCTCAAAGAAATAAGAAAGAGCACCAAATAATGCTGAACACTGGAGTAATGGTTGCTGAATGTAATATTACACAATATTACATTTTTTTATGTATTTTTGATTAGATAAATGCAGCCTTGGGACACATTAGAGACTTAAAAAAAAATTACATTTTAAAACTTCTTAGCAACCCTAAAATTTTGAATGTTAGTACTGTGTGTGTACAGACTTATATCATGGTGGGGACTTAAAGGCACAATATATAATTTTTCACCGCTAGGGGCGCGTATTCAAAGTAGACAAAGGCGTAGTTTGATGACACCGTGACTGAGTGTGGAATCATGGGAGTTGCCGTTTTCATCCCCACAGCCGATGCAATCCGACGGCACTCGGGCAGAAATCATGTTCATGGATGAGCTAATGATTTATTAACGTAGTAGAATGAAGCAGGGTGAGGCTGAAAGGCGTCGAAGCGAAACGAGGCTGTTGAACGAGCGTGACACACGGCTCGAAAGCAGTGGAGCTTTTATTATGCCACAGTCGACCGCTTCCACTCCTTCCGGTCGAGCGTATGTGGGGGGGAAAAGCAGCGCTGTTTTATCATACTAGATACATTTGAAAGTTCTGTTATAATGCTACTCTGTGCGATCGTCACCTGTCTAATAAAGCGCAGAACATATTAAAGCGTCTTTGGTGTCTCCATGTTTTCTACAAAACAAAACCGGAAATCGAGGGGTTACGACGTCATTGGCAGGCGACACAATGACACTATGGACACGCTCCGTGTCACTAGTTAAAATTGCTTATTTGTCTGGATTTAAACATTCTTCAAAACATTTGGGATAATGTAAGTACACAAGTCAGCAAAATATATAACACTGTTCTAGTGGTTTTTGGATATTTTAATAAAATTTTTTTTACATATTGTGCCTTTAAACCTGAATTCACACAGACTCATGTGGACTCGTGCCACGGTGGGGACCTAAATTGAGGTCCCCATGGGTTCAAAAGCTTTTTGAGAAAGTAAAAATGCAGAAAGTTTTCTGTGATGGGTAGGTTTAGGTGTAGGGTTGGTGTAGGGCGATAGAAAATACGGTTTGTACAGTATAAAAACCATTATGCCTATGGAGAGTCCCTACAAGGATAGCTGACCAGACTCTGTGTGTGTGTAATCAGTTACAGTTACTAAGAAAAAATGTGTAATTAAATTACAGTTACTTATGAAAATGTTAACGATTACAGAGGGTTACATTTGAATATTTACACGCGTCCACATTCAGATTTCATTGATTTCTTTCCCAAATTGCACTGACTACTCTAAAATATGAGACATACGGCTGCGATGCGGAAAACACGGAGTGGTTTGTAGAATCCAGTCATAAAAACAGAACTCCTATTACGCGGAATGTCAAGGAATATGCCACATTTTGGATGAATAAATCAAAAGTAGGTTAGTACACTTGAATCAAAACGCGATATGGACTATAGTGTCTGTGAATATTAAGCCGCAAAAAGACAAAATATGAATCCTGCACGTTCTGCGTGTCTCTGTGGAAATCAGGCGCGGACTCGCCATCAGCAGCCGATTTGGCCCGCTGCTTTTTTTATATACAGTGGTGTGAAAAAGTTTTTGCCCCATTCCTGTTTTTTTAATTGTTTGCATATTTGTCATTCTTAAAAGATTCAGATCATCAAACAAATTTTAATATTACACAAAGATAACCTGAGTAAATATAAACTGCAGTTTTTAAATTATGATTTCATTTATTAAGGGGAAAAAGCTGTCCAAACCTGCCTGGCACTACGTGAAAAAGTAATTAGTAAATTTAATAACGGGTTGTGCCACGCTTTGCAGCAACAACTGCAATCACGCATTTG